AGACACGTCGAGGCTCTTCCGCCGAGCCGACCCAAACATGGCCGAGGAGAAGAAGCTGCGGCACTTGATGCGCGGATTGAAGGAGATTTTTGCAGGCCTGGTGCGTAATCCTCTGTGGACTGTGTCAGAGTTTAGATCTGAGGTAATGACAATGGAGAGGACACTGCAGCAGCGTGCACGACAGTATAACAGGAACGTAAACGTCTGTCCAGCTGGCGCGTTGTCGGGAACCCTTACCGACAACATTGACGTTCTGTGGGAAGTGGTGAGGGCTGTCGTGAGGGAGGAGCTACAGAAAATGCAACTCACCCTAAACCCTCCAGCGATGCCCTCACTTGCGGATGTAGTGCGTGAAGAAGTGCGGCAATCTATTCTTCAACCACAGCCCCAAGTGCTGCACCGAGCACAACCACAACCTCAACTGTCGTATGCACAAATAGTGCGAGAGGACCTTGGACGCACAAGCTTTGCTCAAGCCGACGTTATGCCCTCGACATTTCCACGCAGCATGCCACCGCCCATACCTGAAGCCAGGCCCCATAAAAGCGATGTGTGGCACACTGCAGACCGGTGGCCCCTTTGCTACCACTGCAGAGAGGCAGGTCACCTTTATCGAGCATCTCATTATCGTCCAGTGGGACTGCGCGGCTTCCCAGTCAATGCACTCTGCCCGCGGAACGGTGAGCGCCCTTGCGAGATCCAAGACTTTTTGTCGCCGTGCCATACACTTCAGAACACTCGGCAACAGGAATTGTGATCAACATCTCCAATGCGCTACCGGTCGCCGAGCCCTAGAACATCATCCATTTTCCCGAAACCTCGATCACCTAGCCCGCGACGGGAAAACTAGAGCCAGCGACCTGTGGAGGCAAGACTGCTGATACTCAAAAAACAAATAAGCCTCCTCCGCTGGCTCGACTGAATGACTACAGTTACAAAGCGACATATAAGTGCAGTAATGGTGACGTTATCTCCGAACTGTTAGTCACCATTGACGACCTGAAAGCTATTGCGCTAATAGACACTGGGGCGGACTACTCCACGGTCAGTAGCCTCCTAGCAAAGAAGTTGATAAAGGTACTGACTAGTGGACCGGACTGCAAATATGTATGGCCAGAGGGCACTTAGTCAGCCCCGTGGGACTGTGCACAGCAAGAATAGGAATCGGGGAATTCGTCTACGTCGGCAGCTTCAACGTTCTTCCCGAGTGTTCCTGTGAGCTGATTATAGGCATGAACTTCTTGCTGGCAAATAGCGCAATCATTGACTTACAAGAATCTAACGTCTTCTTTTCTACAGAGAACGCTGTCGCAATGTGTCAAACGGATAAACCAGTCGTGTCTCCTCTCCGGGTTGTGGATGAAGGCGTGACACTGCCGCCACGTTTAAGTGTGACAATTCCCGTGAAAAATGACATATTTAGTGATTATGAGGTGCTAGCAGACGGAAACGTCGGGTTGATCATCGAAAAAGGAATATGCATGGCAGGAGGTTTGGTGAACCTTCGTAATAGATGTGCAGACGTCCCATTGACCAACTTTGGCAGTGAGGCGCAGCATGTGGCGAAGGGAACAGCTATAGCAACTCTGCACGAATATTTTCAAGTTGCGAATGTTTGTGCTCTTGATTGGGACCCGCTAGATTCTGCACCAATGGGCAGCGTCCTTGAATCGATAGACATCAACAGCGAGCTCTCATCACCACAGAGGAAGCATATTGTTGATCAGATCAAAAACTTTGCTGAGTGCTTTTCCATTTCATCGAAAGTCGTACGCACTCCAGTCACCAAGCATCGCATCGTGGTCGAAGAAAATGTTAAACCGGCGCATCAAAGTCCATATCGAGTAGCTCCAAAAAAAAAACAGAAGCTATAAGAAAACAAGTACAGGAAATGCTGAAAGACGATGTAATACAGCCATCACATAGTTCTTGGGCGTCACCGGTGGTATTAGTCAAAAAGAAGGACAACTCTCCGAGGTTTTGTGTTAACTACCAAAAGCTGAACCTCGTCACGAAGCGGCACTTTTATCCACTACCATATATTGACGATACTCTGAACAAGCTACGAAATGCTCATTTCTTTTTGTCATTGGATTTAAAAAGTGGATACTGGCAAATCAAAGTAGATGAACGAGATCGTGAGAAGATGGCGTTTGTGACGCCCGATGGTCTAAGAGTTCAAAGTACTTTCTTTTGGCTTGTGCTCTGCTCCCGCAACCTTCCAAAGAATGACGGACATTGTCCTCTCCGGACTTAAATGGTAATTATGCCTCGTCTATCTAGATGATGTAGTAGTTTTTTCTTCGACTTTCAAGCATCACATCCACCATCCGAGGACAGTACTAAATGTCATTCGCGCAGCAGCACTGACTATCAAACCGCAAAAATGTCACTTCGGATTTTGCGAGCTTCGGTTCCTCGGGTACATTTTTAGTGCTGAAGGTGTCCGCCCAGATCTTGAAAAGATACCTGTTGAAAACTTTCCGAAGCCACGGGACAAGAAGGCCTCAAGATGATTCCTGGGACTCTGTGCCTGCTACAGACGCTTCACTGAAAATTTCGCCAAGCTCGCTGAACTATTGACACGGCTTACAAAAGAAGGTGTGCCATTCGCCTGACAGGAAGAACAAGAAGATGCTTTCTCTAAGTTGCGATGCCGTTTGCACTCTCCTCTTATTCTTGCTCATTTTGATGAAGACGCCGAAGCAGACATCCATACCAACACCAGTAACGTTGGGCTTGGCGCCTTTCTCATTCAATGGCAGAATGTACCAGAAAGAGTTATTGCATACCCAAGCCACACTCAATCGAATGACGAGTCCAATTACTCAGCTACAGAGCAGGAATACTTGGCAGTTATATGGGCCATCTTTCAAGTTCCGTCCATGCCTATGCGGCAGACCTTTTAGGGCGATCAGCGACCATCACTCATTGTGTTGGCAAATTGAAAGGACCCTTCAGGAAGACTTGCTAGATGGAGCCTACTTCTGCAGGAATATGACATCACGGCTGTGTACAAATATGACCTCAAGCACAATGACTCAGATTGCCTGTCACGTAAACCAGTTGAGCATTCATCCTCTGAACATGAAGATTTCTCGTTTCTTGGAGCTTTCAACGCGTCCGATATGGCCCTTCATCACCGTACGGATCCAGAGCTGCTCCTGCTTATCCAGTACTTGGAAAGTCGGCAAGCAAAGGGGCCGCAAGTTTTCGTTCGAGGGCTAAGTTTCCATGTTCTCCGGAATGGCGTCCTCTACTAGCGAAACTTTGAACACGGTGACGAGACGTTTCTGCTTCTCGTACCATCATCACTGCGAGCGGAAATATTAGAAGCATGTCACGATGACCCTTAAGCTGGGCATATGGGTGTCAGCCGGACTTCAGCCAGAATCTACCGCAGGTATTATTGACCGAAGTTAATGAATTCTGTACAGCACTATGTGAAGTCGTGCCAATAGTGTCAAAGGCGCAAAGTACCACCTTTAAATTAAAACCAGCATGTCTTTTGAAGCCAATAGAGCCACCAAAAGTACTATTTGAGCAAGTGGAAATGAATTTACTTGGACCATTTACTGTCTCATCGTCCGAGAAACGGTAGATTATTGTAGCGACAAACCCGCTATGCTGAGACGTCGTCTCTCGCAGAAGGAGCTGCGAATAAAAAGGCTTAATTCTTTGTCAGCCAGATAGTGCTATGGCATGGCACTCATAAGGTTGTCATAACCGACAAATAGACAGTGTAAATTGACAGCGTTCACCGCTCGTTTGACGTAGTCTATCATGAAACTGACGTGTACCGACCACAGAAGTACAGCTAACCATCCCCAGACAAACGGCTTAACTGAAAGGCTCAATAGAATGCTGGCTGACATGCTCTCCATGTATGTGGATGTCGAACATTGTTCATGGGACAGCATAACACTGCAGTACAGGAGACGACGCGCTTCACGCCATTCCAGCTTGTTTTTGGTAGGACAGTAACAACGACCTTAGACGCTATGTTACCTGTCAGCATTATGAACAAAGATAATGCTGATATCAGCAAATACATAGAGAGAGCTGAAGAGGCCCGACAGTGGGCAAGGCACTGCATAATTCAACAGCAGGCTTTGACTCAGGTCGCTATAACCTGAAGCGAAGAGATGTCCAGTATGATCCCGGAGACAAAGTGCGGGTATGGACACCTGTATATGCATTGGGTCATTCCGAAAAGCTGATGTGGCACCACTTCGGCCCATACAAGGTACCTCGTTGGTTGAGCACCTTAAACTACAAGGTCATCCTCGTAGGCCAAGTGGGCTCGACTCGATGAGGAAATCACCCAGAAGTCGTACATGTGGTACGCATGAAACCCTACTACGAAAGGCAATGAACATCACTGATACACGTGCTTAGCCATCAAGTCAAACCCTGCATTTCAAAACTTTTGGCCCTCTCAGCACATCGAGACGATGCGTTTTAGGAGGAGAATTAATGCCACAAGTTGCTCGTCATCCTCCGATGACACACCACGCTTCCTGCATTTGTAAATGCTGCCAAAAAAATAACAAGCAAAGCGTGCAATGCACCGGCGGTCTGCGCATACCACCGCACCCACGCTAAAAGAAGACTAATGGCTTATGGTGTGACCAGTTCGCAGCTGCGCGAGAGAAGAAGAGGCGGAAGAGGTTCATGTGGCTAGCGAGGAACATCTTGTGTCTAAGGTTGTCTTCTTAAGTTCTCGGGCACAAGTTCGCTCTGAATAAATAGTCTTTACCAAATCGCGTTCTATTTGTTGCTAACATCGTACTGTCTCTTAAAATTGAAAGCCTGCCATACACTTCGTACGAATGATGTCAACTGCTGGCATTGCACAATGTGACGTCATGTGGTGGCACATGAACCGTGCTTTGCTTCATTCTTGCTGTGTTTCACTTGGTTTTCAAAAGAAAGGATCTTGCTTCAATGTGGCAAGTGACTTTGTTTAATGCAATACATATTTTTTTTTCTTTTTACAGGTTTATCCCCGGGCAAGGGCACTCCATAAATGCCTGCACCCAACAATTTAGAAACATCAAGCTGCTTTATTGTTCAAATTAAAGATGGTTACTTATTGCACATGGTATCATATAAAAGCACTTTGAGAGGTTGTCATGACTTATTCTTGGCTTTTAGTACAAAGAAAGTTTGGCTAAATTTTATACCTTCCACAAAAGTGTTCATGAACTGAAGAACAAGGATAGCTTGGAAGATGAAAATAGGTGAAAAACATTTTTTTTCATACAATGTTAATGTTAATGTAAGTACATTACCAGTTACAGTTCCGAAAAGGCAACAATTATGTTACTAAATTCGCGAGAAAAGTAACATGTCCCCACAAACACTGCAAAAAACACCATATGCTCTAGTTGTTCTTCAGCTCTATTGTGTTGTCATTCAAAACAAAAAAGGGGGGGGGGGACAAAAGACAATGCCATCAGTGAAGTCTTGCCAAGATGATGCTTCTTTGAAAAAGTACTCTTTCCGAAGTTGTAGAAGCTCAACTCCACACATGTCATAGCTAAGAAATACTCGAATATTTTGAACAGGTGTCATAGGAATCACAAGAACAAATAGAGTTTGTATCACATGGCATCATGATGCCTACAATTCTTGGGTTTATCGATGCAGGCTTCATCGTAAATCATCTGGTGGTGCTTCAGGTACGTATCTGTAAGGCTTCTAGGGTTTGCTATTTTATTTTAAAAAAATTGAAAAGCAGTTGAAAGAGCCATAAATCCACATGTCCAATGGCAAGACATTTTCTCTCATACTTGCATAACTATGACAGACTGCAGCAGTATGAGCATCCATAAAAAACTTTCTATCTGACTGTGTACAAATAGAAATAACACAAGTTCTGTAAAAGGCTTTAAAAAATGAAAGAAAAAATCCTTGAACATAAAATTTCACTAAAGCCAACATTTTTACAAGGAGACTTGATGAAAGCAAGTCCCCCTGTCAAAACTTTGGCTCTAGTGACATTTCGTGTTCAAAAATTTCTTGTTTCATCAATGTGTATAAGCTCGCATACTAATCTCCCAGGTACTAAGGTACTGTAAGTTGTCACAAAAGCATTTTGGACAACTGCAAAGGAAATTTCAGGAAATTTAGCTAAAAAATAAAGTCAGTGACGGCTCATCACAGTCTGCGACTGCTTCCATAGTGACCTACTCCAGACATAAGCTTCAATAGAGATACCTAGGGTGTGCCGCAATGCAGCCCCAGTGTTTACCCCTTCTACCGGTGCCACCCTTTGGGCACAGGATACGCACTATTATTCAAGTACACTGTGCAGGGAAGCCCTCAGTTGGCCGAGAATTATTTGAACAAGACTGAGTTCCTTATTTTCTCATAAGAAAGCTGCATTAATGGTGGGACGATCGCGTATACAGTCCCGATGATGAAATGTTGCTGCTGATTGTCTATCTATGGTACTAATTACCCTTACTTGGTTCAATTACGGAGGCTGCAAAGTTGCGATGCCACAGTCTGCCTTGCAAGCACAGCAGATTTTCATGTGGCGATATTACGTAGGAAGAACTCTCAATAGACTGGTCATTGGCAAGATAAGGCCCCATGCTGCCACACCATTCATTCACAGTAGCATGCCTCGGAGGACATATTATAATTGTTGGCGTTTAACATACCAAAACCACGGTACCATTATGAGGGATGCCGCAGTGAAGGGCTCCGGACCCATCGGCCACCTGGGGTTGTTTAATGTGCACCTAAATCTAAGCACACGGGCCTCGAGAATTCTTGCCTACACTGCAAATGCAGCTGCCAATCTCCGAGGATGAACAGCAGTGACCCAAGTACTATGTGGTCTAAATGAGCGTACATCAACAGATGCCCTTGTTATGTCCATATTGCCTTCTAGAGTCACAATACTACTTAGACAGAACAGATTAAAGCAATTGGGCCTCGCATAAGGAGGTCTTGAGCCACACTTGGCCCATGCAGCAAGCACGGACGTGCTTAAAGGTTCCCCTCCAGGCCTCGAACTTGGCGGGCTCTCAGCTTCCAGACATCCTGAAAGGGAGACGAGGCTTACTTATGGCCTGTGCACACACTGGAAGGCCCATGTCATCTTCTGGTCTGCAAACCTCACGTAGATGACAAAACTACATGTAGTGCTTATTCAGACAGTTTTTCTCTTTTTATGTGTGCCTATGCATATGTGAGTGTGTTGTATACAGAGCACTTTTTTTTTAAAGACAATACAGATATTAAAAGAAATTTGATCACAGCAGGCTCCTGTCGTTCTTGCCCGTGAATTCGACGTCAAAGTGAAAGTCTTTTCCTACAGGTGAAATGACGACGTGACTAACGAAAACTTGTCAGTTTTTCAATTATTTACCTGAGTCAGTTGTCTATGTCAGGGCAGGATAATTTATCACATACCCATTTTTTTACAACTCACGAAAATTGCACATATATCAAGATATTTAAACACAAAATTCAAGGGCGAAATTGAGCGCACTGGCATGCACAACGTGCAGAACATCGTGATCACAGTTTGAAATGAGCACCACACACTAAAGTAAGGCAACACGCTGGCATAATTGATATGACTTGCAGCTTTTCTTGAAAACATATGGCCACAGTGCACCTTCATTCAAATTTTCTCACTCCCTTGTAACAGGTAGGTCCAGTTAGACAGCAAAACCATTGCGTTTCATGCACGCTGAGGTTTCAATTTTGCTCTTGGAGTTTCGTGACGAATACAGTCAAACCCCTTTATAAGAGGCACTGATATAAAAGACAAATGGTTATAAGAGACACCAGCGTGCCTACAGTAAATTACGAGTTGATAAGGAAATGCATACGAGGTACCCTGCTTATAAGAGACATCTCATATAAAGGACAAAAACTGCTGCCTGGAGCATGCCTCTTATAAAGGGGTTCAACTGTATCTTGAATGGCATGCAACTTTTGCCATTTCTAAAAAATGGGTATGGCATAAAGTGGCATGCACTATGAATTCGTAATTAAACACCTGCTCTCAAGTGAATAACTAAAATGTTAACTAATTTTTTATTAGTCATGACAGTGGCACTTTAAATGTGGCAAAGTAGTTCCACATCTGTGTGGGGTTCATGCACAATAACGACAGTAGCCTGTCATAGGATTTTTATAAAAAATCTGTGTTGCCCAAAATATCCTCTATGTACATAAAATTTGAGGAGAAAGTTGCCCTCCTTCCTGGATGACTATGCCAATGTGAAACAGCAGCCTCTTGTGTCGTTCCTTTGGTCAGTCTGGTTGTTTTGTGGAGCACTGTTTCACTGAAGTACGAAGCGCTAACAAGTGGCCCTGTATAGTACTGCATCTGGACTACCTGGTGATCCTGTGTGTCGAGTGGTTGCAGCAAAAACTAGGAACGCAACGGCACACGGATGCAAAAGTGTCTCGGCGTTTTTCTTTGTGCGCAAGTCTAATTTTTGCTTAACCACTCGACATGTGTTTCTGTACAACACTAAGATTATGCTTTGTTCTGGGATGCCATTTTACTTTTCTGTTCGGCTCCCAGTAAAGTAGTGAAACGAACATCCCAATGCCTAGGATCGGTGCTGATGATGTGTTTTAATAAAGAGTTGGCTTTATTGTAGGTTAGAGAGCCTTTTTCACGGATCGATGCTGGAAAGAAGCCTCGCTGTATTTACAAAACAATAAGGCCTGAAGTTGGGCTGAGTGCCCAAGGTATCACACATTTCTAAAATATGTGGCTAGTAGGAGGCACAATCTCTGCCTATTGTTTTTCTGGGCTGCATAAAATGGCTGGCTTTCGCTCATGCACCTCAAGGTCCCCAAGGAAACCGGCACGCGGAAAAAAATACCTTATGCCACACATGCTGTAGGCATTGTGTGTGAAACTGCACTCATTAGAGAAAAGCTTTGCAATGAAAAAACTGGCTGATAAAACAACACCAATCTTCTGTTGATGCTTCTTTTCATTGGCCTAGGCATTGTCAGGCCTGTGAACCAATACTTAACAGGATGAGAACACAGGCTAGCATTTTTATTTCGGCACATCAGTGTTGAAGGAATACTGACACGATTTTGAGGCTGCTCAAAAGGGACATTTTTAGTCTTTGTGGTGTGCACTATGAACACTGTTGGCGCACCGAAGCCAGACAACACGTATAACACAATTCCACCCAGCATTTGCAAGCCAGCTCCACCGGGATAAACATTACAAGGCAACACAGTTCACTGCGTTTGTGAAATCTGCGACTGAATCGCGGTCCGACAGGCACACCACGTGCAACTGAACCGACAGCTGTTGCTAGTATTTGGCAAGTTACAGTTCTCCCATGACATGTGTTGACACGACTAAGCCGCTACTTCTATATCAAAACCAAAACTGGTGTTTTAAGGTATCAAGAATATATGCCGTGCATTTATAAGCGCTACGACATTTTTGAAATCTGCGTGTTAAGTTATATCAACCTGAAAAAGTTTCGAATTCGTGTCAGTACTCCTTTAACCTACAAACCAAGTGTGGAGCCACTCACCGCATAGTTTTTCACCGCAATGTTGGGAAAGCGCTTGCGGAAGATCTCGAGCACTTCTTCAGCAATAGGATCCTGGACAGAGCCTTGCACGTCAATGTACTCACACTCGGAAGCTGCATAGTGGCATGATATGGCCTGGGCAGCAACAAAAAACACTCAAATTACGGTTTCAGGAGAAATAAGATTTTAACACAAAAGTATTAAAGAGCTCGTTTCACAGAAATTTTGGTGTCGGCGGCATTGGTTGTCAGCCAAAAATTATCATCTTGCGCGAGATAAAAAAATAATGAAGAAGATGCAAACAAAATAAACAAATAATAAAAAAGTTCTGGGTCCCAGTGGGGATCGAACTTGGGTCGTTTGAGAAGCAAGCGGGTGTTCTACTACACAGTCACGCATCTGCTTGTAAATACAGCAAAAATAACTTTTTCTGCTTGGAAATGCAGTGAAGGTCACTCGCGTGCTTCGCAAACACATGCGTCCTGTATACATGCTTCACTATACAACATTAAATATTGCAGTAATAATGCGTAGTACAAGGGTACATTGCCATCGAGTATCAGAACTTGTGGTTATCATGATGACTTCATGGTTTAAAGCAGGTCACCCACTACACAAGTCTACAAGTCTCGCACATTACTGCACCTATTCTCATAACGCCACATAGGCGGTGCATAGCAAGTTTGCAAAGATTTCATGCACTAAGTGTTTGAAGTACGCGCTAGGGACAGGATATCGCTATTGCGTTCAACTCTTAAAGATGAAGCTTGAGGGTCCCTTGATTTTCATTTTGTTTCCGTTCTACAACTTGAGTTCCCCATTCCAATTAAACACTCGAGTACTCTCATGATACATACATTGAACCACTTTAAATCGTTTTTCCTTTGGCTAGAAAATTGTAGCAAATCTCAAAAACAACTTCTTGAAGCTTTTCTGTGAAGGCTGAACAATGGGAAACTTAACTATTACAGCAGGGAGCTTGAAACATCTATGTTAAAACAAAAACAGATATCACAAATACTAAACAACATATAGCCACGTTGCTGCACAAATATATTCATCAACAGCAAATAATTCGGTTTTTCGAGCAATGCCCAGCACAAGAGGAATGCTGGGTTATGCGAATATGATGCAGTGTCTTCAGCCAGTGATGTTTTTCTAAACTTGGCAGACCCACAGCATGTGGAGAGTACTTGATTATCTTGCATATTTTCAGAGATGTAATTCGTGAAAAGCACAGCAGTTGTTACTTCGTCTGCCTTCGTACTTTCTGAGCATCAACTGCAAGTAACAGGCACCTGTTTGGCCCGTGCTCACATTGTAGCTCTTGCAGTGAATGCAAGAAGAGTGAAGCTCACACTTGCGCAGTGCCTTTCACTGTCATTCCTTGTATAATGCTGTCAAGAAATTCTTTGTCTCACTGCAGCAGTAGTGATCATGCATACCTTGCGAAAGCCCTTTGTCCTGTTGGCACCCGACCCATGGATGAGGAGCGGGTGGAAAAACACCGTGTCACCCGCTTCCATCTCCAGGTGGACACGCTTGTCAAACACGGAGTCTGCCAGGCCCTTGACTCCATGGTACATCTTGTTCACACCACCCTTGGAAACAAGACTTTCTCTCATTTCAGACCGTCATGCTAACTACACCCTCTGTAGGGCGGAAGCTCCAATTAAACTGGTCCCGTTAATTAATCCCGACAGATCCATTCTGCACCCTCCCTGCCTCATGCTAGCCTTTTCTTGGAGCCTATTGATGACTGGCAACTATCTTGCCTTTGCGCTCTGCCCATTTCTCCTGTGCTAATGCCCATGTCACACGGCACGTGTAATGTCAAGTCTACCCAGCTATATGAAATGACATTCACAATTGATGTCAACGTTTATCAGCAGGCTGTCAAGACACCAAAAAGTTGCAAATAGTAGATTTCATTTGCATAGCATTGTTCAGCTAGTTCAAAATATACCACAGATGATCAGTGCAAACGAACATTACTTGCTCTCCAGCTGCTGCGAATGAAGCCTCCGAACCGGCTGAAGTGCCTCAGTCTTGCTATTGAAAAAAAGATGACAGACAATGAGAAATTCGGAGCTGTACCTACACGTCAATTCATTTCCTTTGGCTGCTCTTTGGGCTTTGACTTCACCAGTGATTAACAGAGTGCATGAGAATTTTAACTTGAGCGAGTTGGTACGGATTCATCTTGATTTTAACAGCGCAGTGGGGAACAGAGACTAGAAGAAAAGTAAGGGCACGACCCGGGTGTTGTGCTCTTACTTTTCTTCTAGTTCCCGTTCTTGAGTGCGCTGTTAAACTGAAGATGTTTAACAGAGAACTGTGATGCTCTCCAAAAAAGGATAAGTGGTTTGAAAATGTTCTCCATAAACTGGTGTCCCACACATGCCTGCATATTCCTAATGCAGCGACCCAAAACAACAGTGAGCGTGTGTAAACATGATTGACAGAAGGCGCTATAGTGTCAAGTCTGGGCCTCGGAACATAGCTGCACAAATCGCTTCCACTATCGTGTTGCACGTTCAAAGGTTACCAAAACGTTAACCACAACTTTTAATAAACACCGGAACATTGTTTACACTTGCTTTAAGATGTCGATTTTGTAATCTCTTGTCAAGTGCCTGCTGACGAGAGTACACATGTGGTGCTTCCATTAGTTCAATGAACGCATTCAACGGGTGAATGTCATTAGGTGTGAATGTCATTCACTATGCCAGTGTAGCAGCAACAAAAACGACATTAATTAGGCTTGTGCGAATAGTGAATTTCAGGTTCGAAGCATATAGTGAAATTTAGGTTCAAAGCGAATAGTAATTTTATCAAATAATTTCGAATTGAATTCGGATAACATGTATGAAACAAAAGGGGAATATTTATCATGACCTAACTACCCTGCACAATATTTCTTTTGAATTGAAATAGGAACTGTATGCAAACGCCATTTTTTTTTTCGTTCAAAGGAAGTCAAAACAACCTTGAGTAGTAGTTTTGATAGGATGCGAGTGATAACCTGTAAGATGCTTAAAGTTTTAAAGTTTATTATACTTGGAGCATGTAAGCCATCATAACAAGCTTAATAAAATGAAGAATCGATTTGAGAGTAACATGTTCCTTTAAAGGGGCCCTGCAACACTTCTTAAAGTAGCCATGGAGCCACTAAACATGCTTGTTGCCTCACAATGTTACCACCGCAAATTTTCTAGAGTCGGTCCAGTAAGAGCGGAGTTTCAAAAATTTGTCAGCACGCCGCAATTGAATTCTCTTCTCATCCCGGCAAAATAGCTGGAAGCTAAGCAGGGAAGAATGGCACGGTGAAATAGAATACGTCACGCACATCTCGTGCCCTTGAGCACCTCTTTATTTTTTTTATTTTTCGAATATGCGGCTTTTCAGTGCAATAGCGCTTGCACTCGTGGACAAGCAGCGGTCTCCCGCGGCGGCCCCGGTAACGACGAGCGCGCCATGTTCAAATCAGCCAATGCCTGTGACCAGAGCCTTATATTCCTTCTTGGCTGTGACAAGTGATTTCTGAGCTTGTCGTGTCATTTGCCGAGGGAAGAAAGTAATTTTTAGCTTTGAAACTTTATTGTGAATTACAGGCCACGTGCTGCGCTATAATGTTTGCCTCGCGTGTGCTCAGTAGCCCCGACTGCCGATCAGCAGTGTTTTCTAAACATGCTCAGTAAGTTTTGCAGGGCCCCTTTAAATTTGAAGGGGGCTTCGCGGCAAAACAAATTTCTCTTGGATAGATGGCTTTCACGGTTTAGCACCTCTACATTGCAGTGACACCACCTTTACACGCAATTACATGCGGATTAATATTTATTTGTTTGTTCATTGCGAATACTTCGAAAATATTCGAAAATTTAAATTCTAATCAAAACAAATTCGAATACTCAACTATTAGTTCAAATATTCGAAGCATTTGATTATTCGCACAAGCTTAACATTAACGTCTAATGTCATTACAGGTGCCGTGCGACAGGGGTGCAAGATGTCCTTGGCGTCTGTTTGTTCCATTACCCACACTGCTCTCTTCTATCCAAACACCTGTCGTTGTTTTTTTTATGACTCACTGCATCATCCTTTTTAACACCGCTGTGCTACACTATTAACAAATGCAGTGCAATCTCTACAAAGGGGCTCTGCAGCATTTCTCAATGCAACCATCACATGACCTCACTACTATCTCACAGTTCATTGCCTCACAAAGTTGCATGATTCAAGTGTGCTTCCTCTCCTTACATGTGTGCTGAAAACTACACAACGGGGAGGGGCTGGCAATGCCAGCACGCATCACTGTCTGGAGCCTTTTCCGTTATTTTAACGCGTTTGCAGACTTCCGGTATAATTTAAAAGAATTTTATGTAGCGCAAGGCAAAATGCAGGAACAGGAAGGCACAGATGGACAGAACAGAGAACTACTATTTTCAAACTTGGACTACTAATTGTCAGGCAGACATGTAAGCACACGGGAACATGCAGATAAATGCGCAACAATGTCATCTACCTAAAACAAATCATAACAGATAATACGGTGTGTCACCGCGTACTCAGGAAACCAAACTCCTTAGGTGACAACGCTTTCGAAGGCTTGCTGATACAAACATTGCCAAGAGCATCAATAAGCTCGGCTTCCACAATCACAAATGAATAATCTCATCTTTATGTCGACCAACAATGAGTGTGTTATGGGACAGAGGCCGGCAACCGCATGCCATGAATGTGAAGAGCGTGAGAACCTTCCAGCGGCAGTTTATTTGGCTTGTAACTGTGCTTTCTCTAAGTCGCTCATTCGCACAACTGCTGGTTTGGCCGACATATTGTTTTCCACAACGAGAATGAAACACGATAAATAACAAACTATTTGTACTCAACAAATTTGTGTGTATTCCTTTTTGTGCACAAAACTCTTTCCTCTCAAGATGGATTTGTCAGGACACACAATCTCCCAAATTTATCAGGCACTGAAAATATCACCATAATATTGCCCCAAAACACCGCCTTCTTTACAGCTGGCTAACATATAGAATTATGGCCGGATATGGACTTTTGCATGTGTAACATGTTAGTTTATTCAGGTGTCATGTGAATGAACGCACAAAGAAGGTGCCCACAGCTTGCCATCATCTCCTGGGACACAACTTGAGCCACTTGTACAAAAAATAAATTGTTAGCAGGATGTGCGGGCGTACAACGACTGCCTGCGAATGAAAAGGCCAGTGCTTATGAAGTGGGTGTGTGGTTTGAAAGCATGCAGTGTCGGCACACTATTTCAATGCACACGATCAAATGGGGGAGTGCTAGGATTGTGCAAGTACAACAGTTCGCCAAGAGTGAGTTTCAGCTATTTTTGGAAGCGAATTTCAGCTTTCCTAGTGCTTGCTGTGCAATAGTACTTTTGAACTCGGTTCATAAAATGGCTCCTTTAAAAGGAATATGTCAAACTGAACAGGCGATGTACAGCAATCAAATACAAAAGTAAACTAATTAGAGGAAGTTATTCCATTTGAGACAGAAGCATTTACCAAAGTTTCAAATCTGTTCAAAAAGTGGCCCCTTTAAAAGGATTATGTCAAACTTAACAGGCGGTGTACAGCAATCAAATACAAAAGTTACTGATTAGAGGAAGTTATTCCATTTGAGACAGAGCATTTACCAAAGTGCTAACACACCTCCCACTCCGGGTAGCCATGCTCCATCAGATCTCCGTGGTGCGATCCAGGAATGGCGACGAGGCAACCGTTCTCACGTGTCACTTTCTCCAGGGCCGTCCACGCACACACAATACGGTCTGCTGGCCGAAATGGGAAGTAGTACAGATCCTGGTGCAGCGGATGACGGGACGTTAGGGCCCCTGTAACAGAACAGCACATCTATATGGCTGAGCTGTAAATGTGCCAGGTAACAGCAGAAACACGATCATTTAAAACATTCACCGAGACAGTGTGTCTGCTGGTATCTCGCAAGGTGCAAATGGAAGCGACTAGGCAGGAAAGATACGCACTTCAAACTGACTTTATTACCACATCCAAAGGACTTTATCATTACTCGAGAAGAGGAGATGCATACTGTCAGGCTACAAAAGAACTTGAATTACAAATACACAAAACACATTAAATTCTAAAGATAAAGGTCATGGCAGAGATGCCGCACTGTTCTGACATCTGGCAGAAAGGAACACCAATTCGTCGTCCATCAACTGCACCGGTGCTGAACACACATGCACACATACATGCATCACCATCAACCTCCATATAAAGGGTTTAGTGCAGCCACCAAACCACTCATTTAGTATTGTATGTTTTTTTCTATTAGCTATCCGACTTCCCTTGTAATGCAACTGCACTTGCATCAGAACCTTGGCGGGCGATATAAATCTCAAGGGTGGGCGGAATTTGGAATTACAATCAGTGTATCTTGGCAAAGCTGCAGGGTAGATAACTAAGTTGCCAGATGATAACAAGAAAATTAACATAAAAGATGTCCCCAAAAAAGTGGCACGACTTTTTCGAGGAAGCAAAAATTTATTTGCTTTTCTGTTCTAGAAAATATGTTAAATTACAATAACTATAAATATAACAACAAAATGTCACTCAAATACAAAGGGAAGTTGAAAACATCACATCATTTTTTATAGCAATATGTGCACCTATAAACAAGTGCACATATCTACTTTTTAACAATGTCTCCAGGGTTGTCTCCATTCTGTTTAATGGGATGCTCAACTACTGAGTCAGTGACAGACGCTATTGGTGAGCGTGATAAAAAAAAACTACATTTGTTGAAAAAATACAGATATAAAAAAATACAACAGGCAACTTGTAAACTCTATAATAATAAATATTGGGATTTAACGTTCCAAAACCACCATAAGATTACGAGAGACACTGTACTGGAGGGCTCCAGAAATTTCGAGCTCCTGGTGTTCTTTAAAGTACACCTAAATTTAAGCACATGGGTCTCAAGCATTTCCGCCTTCATCGAAAATGCGACTGCCACAGACCAGCGGGTCAGCAAACTTATAAACTCTACAAGTAACTGGATAGGGAAGGAGCAAGCAGAACTGGCTGCTATGGTTGTGGACCCCTAGTGTCCCACAAACTGCATGCACCTGCTCATCTTTCACTGCTGCAGGCAGCTGCTGTCCAACATTTTGCATTTTGCAACCTTACAATATTGATGACATGCCTATCATCTTAATCATTTGAAACATTTTTAGTACAACGGTGCCTAGTTCATCCACTACTTGAAACGAGCCTAAACTTCAAGCTGTTTCTAGTGACAGCACATAACACAAACACCCAAGGAGCGTGGTCACATTTGGCACTTATAATTGTGTGGCATTTTGTTACAGCAACAAGCATAGACTAGCTGACGGACAGTACCTGTATCTGGTGGCTTGTTGATGAGCATTGTGTGCATGGCTGTCAAATTAGGCCCACAGAATGAGCTTGCATAGTCCAGAATCTGCAACATTCAAGGCACATTGGTCAAGTTGTGCAACTAGAGCATGACAATCGAGCAAAATGAGGTAATTTGTGTAAACTTCACCAAAACAAGTGCAAAATCAGCGGTCTAGAGGGACATGTGAGTCGAGGACCACAAGTTCATTTTAAAATTAAAATTTTTGTTTTTATTTGCTTTCACAAGTTTCTCTACTTTCACAGCAAAAAAAACTCACGGTTGTAACTAAACTCAAAATAGGTTAAAATCACTTTTAAAGAGCACAAGGTGGCTGCTAAAAACTAAAAGGAGCTCATTCTGTAGAGTCCTTTGAAAATTGTCACCTGGCTGCTTGCCATTGCGTTTCGCATTAGGAGTTCACTAAAACAGATGCTCAAAATAACCATGATTGCCAAGCTCTCATGATGGAATAAATCGTCTTGAAAGACACATCTTTTCCACAGAGGTTAGCTTTCACATATACCTTTAAGATGCGTTTTTTTTTTCTAGATCCATTTTTTGGCAACTTCTCGAGTTCAGGCATAATGTTTTTGTTACTTCTGATAGCTCGATCGGGATGAAATTTTGCACATATATTCCTTACCATATGAAGTGTGCAAGTATCTCTAAAATTTGATATTGCCTGTCTAATTATTATGAACAGTAAGCAATTAGTATAGTCTGAGGATTCTAAGAATTCTCAGATTAAACTCTTTTTTTGTCCATTAAAATGTCATATAAGCACTTTCTTGATACTTATTTGCATTCTACATTTATGTGGAGCAATATGGGCCATTAATGGCTCAGAACCATAAAAGTTTAGTGGCATAAAAGGTTTGTCTAAAATGAACTACAGCTAAACCTGTGTATAACGAAACAAAAAAAGTTAGTTATGAAGAAGATTTTGTTACATGCAGGTTCAGTACAAAAATTCAAACATAAGTGCACAAATTAAATGAAAGGACAACTAGAGGCAAAGCTCACCCAGAACATTTATTTAGGGGTAAGAAACTGCATTATTATTGCGGGAGTAATTATGTGGACACTCCCCTCACCTCCATGTTGCGTAACCAGTTCAAATTGATAACATGCTTCTGCGCATCGTAACTTTTACGAGTGAGCGCTGCTGAAACAGATCAAATGAGCCGGCCCATCTTTATCGCCTGGTCGCCGCATACAACGACATCACCCGCATGTTAGAACTGCCTTCAAATGCTCTAACAGAAATAAAACCACCCGTCTTGAACGAGCATGAGAAAATGTAAGGGGGTCGCTTGAGGTAGCAACAGTGATTTTAAGGATACGGTTCCGATTGCTGGCACACATGCTATCTTGAAAAGCATTGGTCTGCTTTCAAAGCCAAGAGACGGTGCGAGAAGAGCACTTCTCTCTGGAGTATTGCCACCACCAGCGTTTTGTAGGACAGGGGTGTAACAGGCCAAATGGGACCAGGCAAAAGTGATTTTTGTAGCAGGCTTGGAGCAGCCATAAAGACGTGTCGAGACGGTGTCGAGCTGCCAGCATGGCCTTTTCAGGTAAGTTTACAGCACTAAGAACATTCAGAGCAGATGTAGCTCTGTTCAAAACACTTTTCAAGCAACATCTATTGAATGCTGAATTTTTTCAAGTACTTGGCTAAATTGTGCGACTGCCTTATTATTGCGATAAAAACTATATGGACACCCTCGACGAGTTTCGGACGTCAAATACTGCGGACACATAATCCAAGCAGGGAGGACAATAAAATGGTACAACAGTGAACATGTTAAAAATTAAAACAAAAAACAAGAACAGTAATTCAGAAATAGAGTCAATATGTTTGGTGAAATGCTATACTGACAAATTAATAATCTGCATTATGGTGCCTATTCGATTACACAATTCCGTTCAGTTATTGTACGAGGAAAAAAAAAAAACTCTTAAATGTGTTTGTTCTCGTGAAGTAGGGTGTTAATGGATTTTGTCTACAGTGAAGAGTGGTTTGGGTTAATAGGGGCGATGGATATAGAGATGAGCCTAGTGGTGAATTGTTCGTGTAAAGTAGTTTAAGGAATTCTAGTCTCTGAAAGTACGAACAGCGCAACCTAGAAGTAGTTGCAGCGTAACTACGAAAGTGGAAAAAACAAAACAAAAGCAGAAAAACAAATAAAAGAGCGCTGTTTTTATTCTTTTTATCAGCCCTTTTTTATATCCTTGTTTCTTCACTTCCGTAGTTACGCTGTAACTACTTTTAGGTTGCGCTGTTCGCATTTTCAGTTATGTCCTACCAACTCGCCCAAGTTTCCACGCTCCAGTCTCTGCTTCTGTCTCATCATCTTGAGTGGTTTAATGTGGTTAGCTTTCATAAGCTCTGTGCGTGAATCCTGTCTTGAGAATTTTTTAACTATAAACCTAAGTGCCTTTCGCTGCACTCTCTCGAGGTTATTGATACACCATTCAAGAATATTATTTAAACTACTATGTAAGCTAATTTGATCATTGATAGAATTAATGTCCTTAAATAGCACGCAATCATTGGCAAATAATCGAATCTGGACACCACAATCAACCATATTAACAATGTCGTTAATGTGTATAATAAAAAAGAGAGGGACGAGGACATTGCCCTGCGGCAAACCTGATGTGGCTAGAAGTGAGCGCAATTTTTCAGTATTAATTTCCACCAATTAATGCCGGTTTGTCAGATATGCAAGAACCCAAGAAATTAAAGATCCTGAGATTCCCGCATTTTCAAGTTTCAGAACTAATTTATCGCGAGAGACAGTGTCGAAAGCTTTTTGAAATCTAGAAAAATTATGTCAATTTGTCCGTTTTTGTCGAGTTGACGCAAAAAAATGAACAACAGTGATCAGCTGTACGACAGTCGAATGCTTTCCTAAACCCATGCTGACAATTAGTAGAAACGGAATGCTTTTCTAAATATGTAGGTATGCTGTTTGCGATCATATGTTCGATAAGTTTGCAGCATGATGATGTTAAAGAAATAGGATCATAATTTTCTATGAGAAGACGATCTCCCTTCTTATGACTGATGATTTATTGATATGTGGGGTTTAACTTCCTAAAACCCCCCATACAATTATGAGGGACGCCGTAGTGGAGGGCTCGAGAAATTTTGACCGCCTAGGGTTCCTCAATGTGCACCCAAATCTCAGCACACAAGCCTACCACGTTTTTTCCTCCATTCAAAATGCAATCCCGTGACCTGCGGGTCAGCAGCAGAGTACCTTAGCCACTAGACCCAACGCGGGACTTCTGCAATGTGGGCTGTCCTCCAGTCACTCGGTAATTCGAACAACAGTGACGTACGAAATATTGTAACAAGAAATTTTGATAAAATTAGTGCATATCTACAAAGAAATGAATTAGGCATATTGTCAGGTCCACTAAAACATTTGGGTTTGAGGTTAATGATTGATTGATTTGTGGGGTTTAAGGTCCCAAAAGGGTTTGAGGTTGAGCAGCATAGCAAGCACACCCAGCTCCAATGTAAAATTTGCATGAGAAAGTTGTGGCACTGCACAGTTGTGTGAACAATCACTAGAATTAGAAAAAATACTGTGAAAAAACGTATTAAAGTGGTTGGCAAGTTGCAGATTTTCAGTAAGAAGCTGTTCATTCATTTTCATTTGTGATATGGGTTTTTTTCTTATCACCAACGCAATTCTAAAACTTACTGTGGTGATAGCGCCCAGGCGCGTCAAGTGTTCGCGTTATCTGGCGCTGTCGCCCACAATTGTAAAGTGTCGTTTGTACGTGACGTCATTGGTCACATGAGTGTCTGCTATATATGTATGCTGGTTGCATGGAATAAAGGTTGGACGTTATCTCGCGCCCATCGGAAGCGGCTCAGTCCCTTTCTCAGCTCCTGCGGCCGGCCCGGACGCGCATGCCCTTTCGCGAGGGCGCAACACGACATGGTGTCAGAAGTGGGATTCTTCTGATATTCGAGGGGCGTTGCACCTTTCTTCGTCAAGCGGCGCCATGTCAGAAGACAAAGAAGTTAAGCCAGTTCACGGCATGTTCGCGGTTCCAGCTCCGCCAGCGTTTGACTTCGACCGAACGTCCGAATGGCCTTCCTGGATCCAACTATTCGACGACTACCGCTTTGCCTCTGGCTTAAATGAGCGAACTGAAGAAGCGCAAGTCCGGACTCTACTCTACACAATGGGCAGGCAAGCGAGAGAGATCTTTTCGACCTTCACACTATCTGAACAACTGCAGAAGCAGTATGAAACCGTCAGAAAAAAGTTCGACGATCACTTCGTGGCCGCACGGAACCTCGTTTACGAGAGCGCATGTTTTCACCGACGCATACAACAATCAGGCGAGTCAGTCGACCAATTCGTCACCGCGTTGCACACACTGGCGGACCGGTGCGACTACAAGGAAAAGGAACGCATGATCCGCGACCGGTTTGTAGTCGGCCTCAGTGATGCCAAGCTCTCGGAGTCTCTGCAAATGGATGCAAATCTTACACTCGTCAGCGCTTTGGCAAAAGCTCGCTTGAAGGAGACCGTCCAACGACAGCAGCAACAGCTGCGAGAAACCAGCGACGAACCTTCGGCAGCGCCAGCCAGCAACCTGGACGCGGTCAACAAACAACGGCAGCCCCGAAAGAATTCTTCAGGACAGCGTTCCGGCACCTCGTCAAGGACCAGTGCACCGGTCACACAAGGTCAACGCACCAGACCACAGTCCTACCGACCTCTCACATCCAGTTCGTGCCCCAACTGCGGTCAAGGAGAGCACCCGAGGACCTCCTGCCCGGCACGAGCTGCGAAATGCAACTACTGCGGTTGTTCCAGACATTTTGCAGTGGTGTGTCGGAAAAAGGCTGCAGGCGAGCGAAAGAAGGTACCGATTTCTTCTCTCCACATGGAAAAAGGGGCATATTTCGTAGGCGCGGTAAATGGGGAGCACTCCAATTCTCGGTATGCTCAAGTTATCATTAACGGCACTCCGGTGTTCGCTAAACTTGACTCGGGTGCAGAAGTGTCCGTTGTACCCTCAACATTTCCGGG